TTTTTTCACAAAGCGAGCATTTACCGAAAAAACGACCGGACTTCATGCAAAGAACCGGTAATCATGCACCTGGGTGTCCGTGCGGCTCTATAATGCACTACCTTCATCTGAGCCGGCGCCCTTCCTCCCGTATGCCGGAAGGGTCAAAGCACGGCCAATATGAGGCCAAGTGTTAGGCTACTGCATAGGGATCATTCCTGCTAATGGCGATCTGCGAGTTTAGTGCAAAGGCGCATGATCGCACCGGAAAGCCTGGTGCGTTTCAGCCTGGATTTAACATTGTCCTCGTTCCCACCCTAGGATTGTATTTTTCGCTCATGTGAAGATATTTTCAGAGCAAATGGGTGAACACGCAATTAGTATTCGCAATGCCATACGATACGCCTGTTCCTGGTTTCCGTAATAACGTTGTCAATACACTGCGTTTGTGGTCGGCAAAAGCTGAAAACAAGTTCCGTCTGAAATTCTGTAAGAACTCATTTTGCTGAACCAGCCGAAAAAACTTTTCATTCTTTATGCAGAAAGGAGGAAAAGGTGAAAAAAATTCCAAGAATTTTGCAGTTATCACTTAGATGAGCAACTGCAAAAAAGGATGAAATAGTTTGATAAATTCATTAGAAAAGCTGTTTTTAGTTAATGATGGTGATTATGTACAGGCAGTGATGGACCGTAACATCTCGGAAAATATCACACGTGTGCTCTATCCCAACGACAATGTCAGTTTCTTTGTATTTTACTCTCAGACTTATTATCCTTGAAGATTTGTAAAACCGTTTTCTGTACTGTGATGAAATGTGTGCCGGCGGGCATGGTGAAGGCACAGGATCCTAGCACACTCACTTTGAAATGAAAATCTTTCAGTTTCGGGAGAAGTACGGTTGCAAGATTGAAACTTAGGGAAATTAACGGAAGAGCACCATCAGGAGTGGAGCTTGCGGCTTAATTTGACTCACCGCGGAAAAACTCACCTGGCCCAGACACCGTGAAGAATAACAGAGTGGGAGAGACATTTGTTTCGATGGCAAACTGGTACTGACGATTGCCGCTAGTTCAAAACTGTCATCTGTTTGCTTCTGCGCAACACTTAAAAGAGGAAGCCATGGACGATCGCTGTTAGCATTTGTTACCACTTGACTACTGTCAGTTGTCTCACTGAGTGTGAATTATGAGAGGTGCTGTAATTTTGATTTTGCAAACACTGTATAAATTCAGTTTTAAGATTTTCATTGGGAAAGAGCTTCGTCTGAAGCAGCAGTATTTCCTGGTCGCAGCAACCCTTCAAGATATCATAAGGCGCTTCAAATCCAGCAAATATGGCTGTCGCGATACCGTCCGTTCAAATTTGGAACATTTTCCTGATAAAGTAAGCGATTTGGTTGAGGAACTTTCAAGCAGCCGGTATTCAAAATTGTTTTTACTTATTGTTCATCATTACATATGCTTGAAATTTAATGTATCAATTGGAGCTTAGATCTTTGCAAAATTTCACTTTTTTGCTTCTAAAATTTATGATAAGTGAAGCTCGAAGATCCATAATATGTAATTTTCAAAAATCGTTCTGCTAAACCATGCTTAGCGCACAGTATGGATAGGTTATTTTGTATTCAAACGAATGTAATCTTTTCTGGTTCCAAAGCTAAAATTTTGTTCCTCCAATAGTTGAATGTACTGCAGGTTGCTATCCAACTGAATGATACTCATCCATCGATTGGTATCCCAGAGCTTATTCGTTTATTCGTTGATATTGAAGGTCCGCTTGTAGCAGTTTTTTATGCGTTTTTTGCAGCTATGCAGTGCAAAAACGCACGTCGGCGAGGGGTTTTTTGTGTGTCCGTGTGTCTGTGTATGCGTCTGTCACGCACTTTCATCTCAAGACCTATAAAAGCTGCAGGGCTGAAATTTCGGGAAC